AAGGACAATTATGTGATACCTTAATCAATAAAGAAATTTTTTTTAAAAGTTATACCTGCTCAGGTAGGTGGAAAGGCTTTTCATATATTACTTTTTTCTTACTTTCTTGGCATTAAAAATAGCTCTCCTTTAATGAAACACATCTTGGTTCCCTCCTTTGTGAAACGCTGAAAACCAATGCCAAAGGATGTAAGCTGTGTGATGGCAAAGACTATGCCTGTTTATTTACTGTGTATCCCCTCGTACTTAACACAGTGTGCCTTGCATAAAGCAGGCATCCAGCAAATAATGTTGAATGAAGAAGCAGCATCTCAGTTTTGTTTTGCTTGATGAGAATGATATAACAGAAAGTCATTTCATGGTATATTTTGTAAATAAGGTATTACTTACCTATTGCTGCATGACAATGTATGCCAAACTTCAGCAGTTTAAAACAATACACATTGATTATCTCAGTGTCTGTAGTTCAGGAATCTGTACATGATTTAGATGGGTGCTTGAGCTCAAGATCTCTCACCAGATTGCAGTCATCTACAAGCTCCACTGTGAAGGATCCACTTTCTAGCTCACTTAGAATTAAAGGCAGGATTCAGTTCCTCATGGGCTATCATACCATGTCAGTTTCTTGCCAAGTGGTCCTCCACAGAGAATGTCACAGAATGGCAGTTTATTTTGTCAGAGTAACCGAGAAGACGAGAGTACAAACAAGACAGCTGTCACAGTTTTTTGTAATTTAATGACAGAAGTGACATCCCATAACATTTGCTATATTCTAACAGAAGTAAATCACTAGGTCCAGCCTATGCCCAAAGGAAGAGGACTAAATAAAGTCTTGAATCACCATAATCCTTGAGGGTCACATTGAAGGTCAATACTATAAATATAGTATTGAGTTGGTTTGAGTGTGGGGGAAAAAAAATCATAGATAAAGGTGGGAAGTTGATTGAGGCCCATCAGAGCATCCAGGCTTTTGTGTTATAGAGTTTTCTGAACTTTGCTCTGACCCTCACCACTCAAAATGTTGTTCATGGATCAGCAGCATTCATAACACTTGAATAGCTGCTAAAATTACAGATTAGACTGTGACCCCTGACCTACTGAATCAAAATCTGCATTATAACAAGGTCACTATATAAACCATCTTTAATGATGGAGGTATGATGATGTATCTCTAAAGTGGTAGCCTCTTGCTATATGTGGTTATTTGGTATTTGAAGTGCTGTTAACGGGAGCAAAAAACTAAATTTTAAATTTTAATTCGTTTAAATAGCCACATATAGCTAGTAATTACCATAATGGAGAACACAGCTCTAAAATACCTAATAAAACCCAAAAAAAAAAACAAAAACAAACACCCACACACATTTCAAGTAATATCTAACATTTATTAAACACTGAAGATTATGGAAAAGCATGAATGAGACTGGTTCTATTACACAAGCTTAATTAATTCACCTTGGACTAATAAATGAAAGAATTTAATATCACAGAAGGAGTTTTGAGACTGAGGTTGATTTCAACCTCTAAAATTAAAAACAAAAGAAAAGCAGCTAAGACATTTTCTGAAGGAGCAAGCAGCCAGATCTCCCTCTAGTGGCAAGAGAGAAAATTGCTGCTGAAAAGCCAAATTGCTTCTCTAACTACATATAAAACTGCTCACAGCCATTTCTTTTATATAATTATAACTTTAAAAGATTCTAGATCAATATATAAGGAAAATAGACCTGATTTTTGTAAATAAAAGTTAGACCTAGTTTTCAATTACTGTGAATGCTAATCTCTATAGAAATCTGATCTCTCCCGAAGAAAATAATTTGCCAGTGAAATTTGAGAAATTGAAGCTTTTACAAAACACAAGTTTATGAAGCCTTAACCAAACTGTGAGCAAAAGAAATTGAGAGCAATTCTCTCTTGGTAAGTGTTCTGGGATGGAATATGACAAGGAGTGGATTCAGCAGCACTGGGATTTGTAAAAACTCATGGGACATTAAAAATGAACATATTACAAAAGTTAATAACCAAAACAACTCTTTTCATTCTGATATTGTTTCAAAAGACAATTCTGTCACATTGCCAGTTTTAATTACAACCATACATACTCATTTAGATTTAAATACTGAACTACTACTTTCAAGTACAAGAAAGAACTCAAAATTGAAATGACTTGTGTCACACCTATTGTTTTTCCCTCACAGCTTCAGGGAAAAATTTTATGTCCACTATAGTAAGTACAGAATGTACAGAAGACAGTTATATACAAAAGTGCATGAATATAATAATAAATTTAGCAGAAACACAGGAAAAAAATCCTGGTTAACAATCTGATATATTACAGCATTTAGGACTACTTGAAGAGTCTCCAAACGAGTCAACTTCCTACTTGCTTTGGTTATGATATTGATGCTTTAGGACTAACCTTTGAAACCAAAAAAAGGGGAAAATTTTAACTATTTGTGAAATGCTTTACATATACTTGTGTTTATCCTTAATAGCTTTTGACAACAGTCTTATTAAACTCCCAACACAAAGATTCAGAATGCATAAAACCTATATCTAAATTAGAGTACTTAAAAAGGAAATTAAATTGATCCACTACAGGAACAGACCTGGTCTGCTCTATTTCCAAAAGCCTGAGCTAGATAACGTACCCCCAAAGTTTCAACTTAAATCCCAACTGGTCAACTACCATTAAAGAGAAGCAGCTCCACAAAATAAGCCATGGTTTCAGGCCACTGTTCCTTAGAACAATTCAAAATATGTAAATATAAACTTGCCATTTACCGTATTTTCCAGTGTATAAGACGACACTGTGTTCTAGTAAAATGCCTGCTCAGATTGGCCAGAGTCAGAGAGGCAGTCTATTAAAAAAAGAATTGGTGTTGCCTCGGAAGTGGGGGGTAGTCTTATACAGCGAATATAGGCCTAAACCTATGCTTTAACTGTAAAAATTAGGGGGTCGTCTTATACGCCGAAAAATACGGTATACAGATTAAGTCTACAACCACCTTTATATAGTCAAAATGCCTATGTATAATTAGAGCAATTCTCTTCTTTTCCACTCACATCCCTTGCTACACACACATATTTCCATTGATTTCATTGACAAAAGATGCAACATCGAAACTTGACAATAAAGAAAAAGTACTAAAAAGTATTAAAATCTGAGACCAAACCATTTTTTTCTGACTTCAATATGAATGTCAATTAAAAATTAATTTACCATAATATAAACTAGGTTAAAACAATAACCTTAATTTAAAATATAATTGTGAGGGGGGCTGAAAATAATTTTAATATATAAAAAATATGAAAATAAACTTTTAGTGAATCAATTCAGATCTTCAACTATACCATGCAACTTCCTTAATCTTAATACCCAGCTAATTAGAGGAATTTGAGTTCCTTCTATGCCTTTTGGAATAAGTAAATTATGTTCCAGATACTATGCTGACAGAGATGCCTACGTCTAAATACCTCTCAGATGCTTCTTACCCATTTAACATAATTTCATTATAAAGACAAAATTTATCTTCTTTGACAGACTTAAGTCCAAAATTACCACAGTCCATATATATACAAATACTTATTTTCTAACTAATAGTCCTTTTAAGGATTAAATTTACCTCTAAGTTTAGACATGTTGAATGTCAGTGTGCTTACTATTGATACTATTGTTTGAATGCAACTTAGAATTTTCCTAATAACACTCTAAAACTATAAACTGACTTTAACTCCCAATTCCAAACAAAGATTTTTCTTTGAGACAGGAATGCTAAAAGGTGATTTGTTAAAGGGGAGAGGAGTGTTACGGCTATTACACAAATAAATGCAAAGAATCCCTAAAGTTAACAAAAGAATAAGCTTGCTATATAATCTCTGCTCTAGAAGTACTTTTGAATTAAAATTTATCTTTCCAGATACTAAAGAATTATCTGGTTTTAAAAAGTATTCTGGCTTATGACATTCTTAAGGGGGTGGGATGGGGTGAATAAAAGAATATATTAAGCCATGCTTTAAATAACTTTCAAAGTTCTTCAATGACCTAGATGGGCCAAAATAAAGTTAGGCAAATTAAATTTAAAATCTGAAAAATTTTTAGACACTTTATTACCAATTGATTGGTTCAATTTAATGGCTTTGCTTGCTGATATCCAACAGCATGGGTATTTTATAAAATTAATTACATTTAGATTATTTCTTAGTTTGGAAAAGCTTGATATTGATAAAAAAGTAGAGTTCACCTTTAAGGCACATGAGGCTATATAGAGTGAGCCACGAACAAAAATCTCTGCTAGAGAATCTGGAAACAAGACTTCCAAATTTGTTAGTTACTAATAATTAACATTTTTAGCCTAAATATTAACACATTTGATAAATTTCAAAAATTTTAAAGCTCATCAGAATCTGAATACCTTTATACTTTAGGTTCTCTGAATTTTTCCTTTATGAGGGGATTTAGCACTTTTAACAATTATAAAATGAGATGTCCACCAAATCCATAAATGATAAGTCAGCTTCTGTGATTAATTCATCAGCAATATTAACTTAATAACAAGGACTGAGGAAATGGACAAAACCACCACAGCCTAACAAAAAAGTCTTATGAAAGCAAAAACGTATTATTTTAATCTAAGTTCTTGTTGGGACAGAATGAACTAGCCCTTTACACTCTACTACGTCTTAAACTACACCACCTTACTTTAATTACGCTGAAAAACTGTAGAAAATAACATGACATTTAGTTTAACTCAAGATTCATACTTTAAAAAGCTGTGGTAGGAACTGACAGACTTCTATGATAACTCTTTTTTTTCTGATTTATTGAGATATAATTGACATATATAAAAGATCTCTAATAAAATGTTTCTGAGAAATCTGAGGGGACTTTATCATGTTCTCCATTAACAAGGCTTAGTTAGGGCTTATAAGAAAAAAGGAAAAAAAAAGAGTTGGGTTTCTTTTGAGTTGAACTCAAGAGATATACCAGATTGAATAAATTGTTACTTATTCCAAGAAAGAAGTAATTCAAACTTATCTACATAAGGCATTAAAACAGAACAAGAATATAGCATGTTAACAAAGACTTTTTGTCTTATTCTCCTGGGTTCTTTTGAAGGGGGATGGAGAACACTGTAATTTCCCTCTTTAATCATAAGCAAACCCAAGTTGTACTTTTTTCCTTTACTCAGAGGAAGTATTTCAATCTCCTCCAAACCAACTTTATAAGTTATCTTTAATTTATTGTACCACAAAGAGAGTTCATCTAGATTTACACAAAATTTCATGGCACACTTTACCATAAACTCTCAAGCCTTTATATACTTTTAAAATTGGCTTTGTGGTGCTTTGGTAAACTTGTTTAATAGTGACCTACATTAAATCTGAGGTAATAAGACAATGCGATTGTTGGGAAAGTAGAGGAATTAGTCTTATTACATCACAACTCTATTTAGGATTTTCTTTTACTGGTCAAATAAACTGTCTCGAAGTATTTAACAGATAAATTCTGCTCTGTGGTCTCCAAAAAGGGCCTGTTTTCCTTGAAGAGTAGATAAAGAGAACAATCATTCTCTGGAATTTGCTTTTGCTAAGAGCAAATGGAGAATTCAGCTGTATCTATTCGTCTCTCCATTTATTCTCCCTATACGTGGAAAGGAAAACATAAGGAGGTTGACCCTTCCACCTTCCTCAGAGTATTCTTTGTGTCTATTCCCAAACTCTTGTTGGGCCCTCTAATCTGGTTAGAAGCACCAAAGAGAAGGTAAGAGGAAAGTCAGAAAGACTATTTCAACTGATAAAAAATATATACATATACACTTTTTAAATTTTAGTAACATTTTAAAGTATGAATCTAATGGTCTTCAAAAAATTACAGGCTTCAGCAAAGCTGAAATATATCAATTTTTACCCTCAGTTTCAATTCTTTAACCTTCAAGGAACCAAAATGAAATCAAATTTTCAAAGCACATGACTATAAGCAAAGGTTATGCCTTTATATTTAGATTAAGAATTTTAAATTAAGAATTTAAGTCATTAATCTTTATCTTAACAAGTTACTTGGTATAATTAATAAGTTTAAAAAAAAGTAGAAATTCCCATCAACCTCTGGCTCTAGTTTTACAGATATTGACTGCAACTCCTATAGTATCACAATTACCTTTCAAAGTTATCTACAATAAAATAAAAATTATGAAGGTCAGAAAGCAGCTTGATTGTCAGTAGTATCAGTTTCCAACTTCTTTAATCCATATGAATGATTAAAGATGTGCGGTAGAAGAAAAGGAGTCACACTACTGCAAATGTTCATAACAAACTCTCCATAAAAGCATTAAAGAAACTATGATTTCATATCTAAAATTAGTTCTATTTTAACCGCCAACAAGCTAAGGTGTGTTTTTTTTCTATTATCTCACTGCTCTGTGCATTTTAAAGATTTATAGGGAAGGTTAGCAGAACTGTAAGGGTTTCCTTTAGTTACTTTTGAACATTAACCTGTTCACATGCCAGAAGCTGTTGTTGTACCAAATATTTAAACATTAGAGCTGTGCTGGAAAAAAAAATGACCCACAAAAGATATTAAGAGATATTTTCTGCCTTTAAGACAGTTTCACAGTCTAAAACTTTAGAAGGCAGTAAAAGAGTAGAATGGGTTATTTTGTTCAATTGCTTTCTCATTTGAATATTAATGAACACAGCATCAAGTCTAAAATTCAGATGTTAGTAACACTATTTCCTCAGTAGTCATCACTTACGAAAAGAATTCTAAATGTGCATAAAGTGAAAAGAAAAAACAAACTTAAACAGGAAAGATAGTAGGGCCTGGTCTTACACTTTTGGGATAATAATGAAGTAAACCTAATGAAGGCACTATTGTATATAGCAATCCACACTACATCCCCAAAACCTCAAAAAAAGACTTGCACAAGAAATTGAGAATTATGCTATGGCCCTTTAGAAAAAGTTTAAGGAAACTGAATTATGATCTCTACACATATACATATATGGACATAATAAACTACTTGTCAGCAGTACCTTGAAATCTTCTAACCTTTAAAATTATTAATATTTGCACAAGCCTACTTAACTATCCTAAAGTTTAAAGTCAAAACATTTACTAAATCAGTGATTCTTAAAACTAGCATGCAGGATAGAATAACCTGGTGCCTGTTACAATACAATGTTGGGCCTCTCCCCCAGGGTTTCTGATTTGCTAGGTCTGGGATGGGGCCCCATAGTATGCATTTCTAACAACTTCTCAAGTGATGCTGAAGACCATAATCCAGGGACCACCTGCTGAGAACCACTGGCCTAAATTATTAATGGTACATCAGCACAGCCCTAACCAAAAGCTTGATCAAGATGCATGTAAACAAATATTGCTTGGAAAGAATGCCAATAACTTCACCCTTATTACATCAAAACATCTACATCTGCTTCGTGGTCTTCCTCAGTCACTTTCAAGGATAGCACTTCTTCGTTAAGAAAGAGCCCACTGAGCTGCTCCTTCCGAGCCTGCCTCTGCTCTTTCAGCTGCCTCTTGCGTAAGGCCTTCTGCTGCAACTTCCGCTGCTTGGATCGCTTCTGTCAAAATAAAATTTTCTAAATCAGTAAAATTTAGTTCTGGCATATCCACTTCAAAGTATTTCATGGATCAAATTCTTTATTCTCAGAATTTCTATGTTCAGATGTTCAAATTCCTCTCAAGTATGATCCTGGTTCCAATAAGTGAGCCACTGGCTTAAACTTGAAAATGCTTCTTCAAGAGTCTATTTTTATGTATTTGACCAGTGAACCTTCTGATAAGGAGGGGATGAAACTTGATCATTTTAACCAGTTATGGATAACCAATCATTTCAAAGATTTAGAAATCAAATTAAGGTACATTGGTGTCAGTGCAGAGTGAACACATAGTGAATAATACCGAACACATGTAGAGATGTAGAGAACATCTCTAATGCTTATGCTGTCATGGTATCTTTCATCCAAAAGCACTAGCAATTTTACCGTGACTAGAACAGAATCATGTATTTTCCACACTAGGCAAATACCATCTTAAAAGTCCATTAGAAACCCATTGGATACTCTATTCCTTATCCCTGGAGAACTAATGCTAAAAAGGAATGACCACATATCCAGAGGAATCCCTTGGCAACCAACAAATCTGGCTGTTTCTATTACTTCATAAAAGTCAGAGAAGGAATAACTGTGTATCTTCTAGTCACCACTGGGTTCCCAAAGAGTTATAAAGATTCCCTTATCATCTTTAAGGTGGCTCCAGACTGTCACCACTGTAAGAGCTGAACTCCCCTAAGCATCAGAGAATCACACATATACTTATATCTCCTACTTTGTATATGCCCAATAATATTACACAGATTTTTTTCAACTGTGAAAACAGTAAAAGAAATTAGAGGAAAGCATTATTACATTTTAATAAAAAGGCTAAGATAAAACATTTAGCAGAATATTCTTGGGAGCTAATAGATAAGTAACAACAGTGATAGAGGGAGACCCACTCAGTATAGAGTTATAGTCAATATTGCAATCCTGAGGTTCACTCCTTGTTTCCATCAATTTATCTTAAAAGAGACATAAAAATCAGATAAATTTGAGTGTTAATGGCTGCGCATCACAACAGTATTTCAAAGGACTCAACCTAGAGGGCTTTGTTCAATTGAACCATCTGCTTGCCAACCCCACCTCCTCATGCAATCACTGTAGATTTGGGGGAAAATACAAATAGAAAGCTTTGGTATGATTCTTTGATAGAACCAGATATGTACAAAAATCAGATCTGCATATGTATAAATAAAAGAACGTAAGACACACACACACACTCACAAAAACACAACTCCACCACCCCAGGCATCTAGATAGCAGGATACTATTAACTCTTCGAGATATTTACATGAGGGAGTACTAATGTTACTATTGAAAGAAAGTTTTATATTGATTAGATGTTTTACTTTTGAATCCCGAATCCGCTCTGCTGCACTTGCAGACAAGTTGCTGTCACTGTGTGCTCGACTCATGTTGGCACTGGAGTTTGAAGCAGAGTTTCCAACACTGGACCCGCTGCTGCTTGCAGAACTGACCATGCTGGCACTGCTGCTGCTGGCACTGGCACCGCTCACTCCACTGGTGCTTGCACAACTAAAGTTGCTTCTCTTCCAGGCCTCTCTTCCAGGTCGTTGGCGAGGGCTATGTTCCTTGATATAGTTTCTGACCTTGGAACGCACAGATAAAAACTAGTTAGTGTAGTTACTTGACGTTCTACCCTCAAAACACTCAGAAAAGTATGGTGTACTTAAGTTAAAAGACTGTCAAAAGTATTACAGATATACATAGGTGTAATATAAAGACAAAAAGAAACTTCTTGACAATGTTCAAAATTCTAGAATACACATTATGGAATTAGATTTTCAAAGCACATCAAATAAAGGGTGTCCCAAAAATGCATACACACTTTGAATGACTATAAAGTCCGTGTTTATTAACTTAAGTTAATTTTCAAGATTTAAAAGAATCTACAGAAAATTCTGTATACAATTTTGGGACACCCTATATATGTAATCAATAAATGGAAGGCTACTGGCATCCAGAATTTAGGATCATAACATTCAAGAGACAGAAACTAACAGTAAAATAAAATAGATGATATTTTTAAAATGTTATTATTGATGTGTGTTTTCTTAGAGAGGGAGGAAGGGATAGGGATCGAGAAATGGAAACATCGATGACATAACATCATTGATAGGCTGCCTCCTGCATGTCCCCTACTGAGGATAGAGCCTATAACCCAGGCATGTGGTCTGACTTGGAATCTACCTGGTGACTTCTTGGTTCCTAGGTCAACGCTCAACCACTGAGCAACAGCAGCAGAGCAGATGAGATTTTTTTAAAAAAGATTTGCACTAAAGATGATTTAAGTAAATTGTTAAGTATATATAATATTAGGTTGTTTCATAAATCTTAGCTGGGGCACACAGTAGGTGCCTTCAAATGCAAGGCATCAATTTACCATACTAATGAAAACTTATGTTTGTTGAAATACTGAAATGAGAGAAATGTTTCATAAATAATGATAAATGTGGGAAAAAAGTAGAACATAAGTAGTATTCATTTAGCTAGCTATGTGCCAGCGAAAAAGAGCAGTAAAGACTGTATTTGGAGATACCAGAAATGTGTATTTCAAAATAGCATAAGGGAAAATTATGTTTTACCCTAGCCAAGCTCAATTACTCCATAAGACTACTCAAATCCTTCAGTTCAGATTTCATTCATGTGTATCTCTCAATAA